GGAGCAGGCAGGGAGGGTGACGGGGGGGACAGGGGAGGGGATGACGGGGAGAGGAGGGAGGGAAGAGGAGGAAGATCAAGGTGTTGGGAGACAAAGGAGAGGAGGAAGTGAGGGGGGACGGAGAGATGGATGGGGATGGGGATGGTGGGAGGAGGTGTGAATGGAGGGATGGATGGAGGGATGGACAGAGGGATGGACAGAGGGATGGACGGAGGGATGGACGGAAGGATGGACAGTGGTGGAGGGCTGATGGCAAGAGAGGGATAGCCAAGGAAGGAACGGATGGCGGAGGGCTGAAAGGGAGCAGGATGAAGGGATGACCATGATGGGTGGTGGAGGACCAGCAGAAGAAGGGATAGATGAGGAAGGCTCATGAGGAATGGGATGAAGGCTGATGGGGATGGATGATGGAGGACTGGAGTGGGCCAAAAGGACGATGGGGATGGGTGACGGAGGGACACTACAGAAGGGACAGACGATGGTGGGCTGAAGGGGAGCGGGAGGAAGGGATGATGGGGACAGATGACGGAGAGCTGAGGAAGGGGTGGATGATGAAGGGCTGAGGGGGAGCGGGGTGAAGGGATGTTGGGGAAAGGATGATGGAGGGATGGAGAGCTGAAGGGAAGGAAGAAGGGATGATGGGGATGGATGATGGAGAGAGAGCAGAAGGTATAGAGGATGGAGGGCTGCAGAGGAGCTGGATAAAGGGATGATGCAGATGGATACCAAGAGGAAGGGGGGGATGGAGGGATGGAGGGAGGGATGGATGGATGGATGGATGGAGGGCTGAAGAGCAGCTGGATGAAGGAATGAGAGGGATGGATGACGGAAGGACAGCTGAGCAAAGGGTGGATGAAGATGGATGGATAGATGGATGATGAGGATGTATACCAAGAGGATGAGATGGATGGATAGATGAATGGATGGATGGATGGGTGGATGGATGGATGGATGGTGGATGGATGGGTGGGTGGATGGATGAGGGAGGGCTGAAGAGGAGCTGGATGAAGGGATGACGGACAGACAGCCAAGAAGGGGTAGACGGAGGGGAGCTGGATGACGGGGATGGACACCAAGAGGACGGGATCACCGCTGAAGGGGACAAGGTGACATCAGGGACGGCCGATGGAGAGAGGCGCCGGGCTCTCACCGGTGAAATCCTCGTGGCACTCGCAGGTGTAGCCGCCCTCGCGGCTCCGGCACCGCCCGTTGCTGCCG